CAAGTAATTAATTACTTTTAGAATCTTGTAACTCAGTTACTTTTTTGAAGAAGTAACTAGTAACTGTAATTAATTACTTTTTCAAATTAACTTGCCCAACACTCCACTAGGGACCGCTTGAGACAAAACAACATCTGGCGTCTCAGTCAGGGTTGCTTTCACGCTCACTAAGACAACAGGCTGTTAGGTGAAAGGTGAGTGAATAGGGAAAAGCACTTAGTACATGCTTAGCAGAGTTTGTAGGTGCTGCTCCCCTGGATTGGACAAGGCAGATTGCTGAGAAGCTGGGACCAGCCCGAGGCACCGACGATGAGAGAATTAAGTGTAAACTATGATTTCTCCCCATCAATTTTAATCAATCAGATAGATGCACAGTCTCATATAAAACTTTGTATACTGATAAGTTGAGGAACTCTGATCTGCAACTTTACAGCCTGTGGTCTTCTGAACAAAGGGGATCCATGTACATGATAACATGTAATCATTCATCGCCTGCTTTAATAAATAATAATTAAAGAAAGAAGTGTTTTACTGGGGATTCCTCAAGGTGGATAAACAAACACGCTTTCAAGTCACATAACTGACAGTAGCTGTTTCCTCCAGCTGGTTCGGGATAACGCTGAGCTCCGCTGTGAGCTGCCCAAATTGGAGAAGCGTCTCCGGGCTACAGCGGAGCGAGTGAAAGCTCTGGAAACTGCTCTGAAAAATGCAAAAGAGTCAGCCGTGAGGGATCGCAAACGCTACCAACAGGAAGTTGACCGCATCAAAGAGGCTGTGCGGTCCAAAAACCTGTTCAGGAAAGGACACTCGGCTCAGATTGGTGAGAAGATAACTTAAAACAAGCCAAGTCTGATATGTAATGTGATAGGCTGTTTGTCTTTACCTAAACTCACCTGTTACCTGCATTCATATAGCCAAGCCAATAAGAGCCGGTCATCAGCACCATCAGAATCCGTCCTTCTCCCATGCTATCCGACCTACCATCAGAGGAGGGGGTGCAGGGTCCAGCCCACAACACCAACCCCCCCGACACCAACCTCAGCAACATCTCCACCAGAGCAGCAGCAGCAAGTAGGCTCCAGGTGAGTCACACCTCAGAAACCATGGCACACAACTACAAAGCTCCAGCCACAACTTTATTTCTGTCAGCACTGCTTGTCAAACTGATCTGTTTTATTACAGCTCATTAAATAAAATGCTTGGGAGCTTTTCTACTGTATATTTGAGTGGAGGAAAACAGGATAAAAGACATCCTGTGGGAGAGAGCCAGAGATTAATAATAACTAATGATTAAATGCAGAGAGGTGTATAAACACATAGTGAGTGAAAAAGCTGACTGAAGAAGAAACACCCAGTGCATCATGGGAATCCCCCAGCAGCCAACACCCACATAGCAAGCAGGTCTGGCCCGGATCTGGTATCAAGCCGGGACTGCTGGTTGACTTCTGGCATGGTAAGTGGTATGTCATCCAGATGTGGGCCAGGCCTGGCGTAGATGCCACTGTTTATGTTCCTATTTTCCTATTTTAGTTAGAAGACCCAAATGCCATGTTGCAATTAGAGATGGCACGATACCGATACCGATATCATAAATTTGGATATCTGCCAATACCGATATGAATCCGATATAGTGTGTTTTTTAATCAATAAAACTGTTTTTTTAATATCTTGCTGCTTTTTGTATAAGTTCATACTCAAGTTAAAAAACAAACACTAAAGCTATTCTGTTATACCTGTATGCAAAAAATACACTGCACCCAAAATATTTCATAGTTCAGCAATACTGATCAATCTAATAAACTTAAACCTGCACCATCCTCCCTATTCTGGTATTTTAAAGAGTAAGCAACCTAACTAATAGGGTTCTAAAACTCCCAGCAAAAAAAAAAAATAGGGAACCACCCTCCACCTCATGATGCTTAATCGACGTAATCAACTTTAATTTGATGCAGTGTGGAAAAAAAATGCACAGAAATCAATTATTTTTCAAGAATAATTAAATAGATTCAACATCTTTCTTCAACAGAACTGCACAGATGGTTCCCAAAGGAAAAAGTACTATAGCTTACTAGGGTATATTAGACTTAATAGTTACTATATACAGTAATGGACGACAGACAAATGCTTTAAAATCTCCAATTCTCTTACTCGCATTGCTCGGATCCATATTGGAACCTGGGCAGTGTTGGGGAGTAACGGAATACATGTACCGCCGTTACGTATTTAAAATACAAAATATGAGTAACTGTATTCCGTTACAGTTACCGTTTAAAAAGGTGGTATTTAGAATACAGTTACTTTGTTGAAATAAATGGATTACACGCGGTACTTTCCTGTTTCATATTGTCGCGGGTCAGGACTGTTTGGGTTTTGTTTGTTTCTGTTGTTCCAGGCGGCAGCGTTACGGTTGCCATGGTTACAGGGTGACGCTCTCTCTGTGTTTCCTGGGTGAGAGAGTGCCTTTTTGTTGTTGTGCTAAGCTAATAGGCAGAATGCTACAGCCATCGCCCTAAAGAATGTAGCCTCATGGGCAGTGTAGTCCGTGCTGCAGGGAGAATGGACTGCCATACACGTTATGTGTCTGTGAGCGCGAGGAGGGAGAAAAAGGGAGAAAAAGGAGAGTAGAAAAGTACGAGTTGTCATCGAGCAGAAACAGGAGCTGGAAGCACATATTATTATAGCATATATAGCATATAATAATAACCACTGCAGCCAAACAGAGAGCCTGACGAGCCCAGTTGTAAGTAAGCTATTAAGACTTAACTGTACACTGTTCGCGTTTTCCTCCGAAACAATAAGTTCCGTTGGAGCAGCCTTTCAACGCCTCTCTCTGTCTAAAACTTGACCCAGAGAACAAAGTAAAGCTATTTTTCGGCTACGAGCCCAACACGGAACCCGACGTATTAGTCAGAGGTCCCTTTACTATGGTTCGGAGCCGTGGACCTTCAGTAACAGTAATAAATCACACAGCAATAGTACATTCATGTAGTTGTTAAGAAAGAAATCCAAAGTATTCAGAATATGTTACTCTCATTGAGTAACGTAATAGAATACGTTACAAAATACATTTTGGGGCATGTAATCTGTAGTGGAATACATTTTAAAAGTAACCTTCCCAACACTGAACCTGGGTGACGCCACCCTGTTACGGCTAGACTCCACCAGTATTTCCTGCCTACCCCTTCCCAACCTGCACAAGAAACGTTACAGGAAACGGGGTAATAGGAGTGTTCTTCGCGTCCGCCTCAAGGCTTACCTTAAAGCAAGGGCTACGGATTATCCAAATGCTGGCCAGGATAGTCTACGCTTTCTCCCCTCCTCCGGAGATAAAGTTTCTTCTCTTAAGTCCTCGCTTCCTTTAGTGTCGAGCCCTGTTTCTTCTCCTGGTTGTTCATCAACCTTCCATCAGTTTGAGCCCGTGTCAGTCCTTACTCTTAAGCGATTAGTTGAGCAACTGAATAATACTAATCCTATATATATCCTCCCATCTTGCATAGTATAGGACTACTTCGACCCGTCAGCTTTTAAACATGCCGTAGTCCAGCTTGTTCTTAAAAAAAGGAACCTTGATTATAATGATTATGTTAATTGCAGGCCGAGCTCCCATTCCTGTCTAAAATTCTCGAGAGGATAGTTTTTTCACAACTCCTGTCGTATTTGGATGCGAATGACATTATTGATAAATTCCAGTCTGCCTTTAAACCACGTCATAGCACCGAAACAGCTTTGCTTAGAGTCCTAAATGATCTTCTAATTGCTGATACTGGATGCGCTGCGGTCCTAGTTCTATTGGATTTATCCTCGGCTTTTGAAATGGTCGATCACAGCATGTTGTTAGCGAGGCTTGAGCATAATAATAATGGATTGGATTTATACAGGGAGTGCAGAATTATTAGGCAAGTTGTATTTTTGAGGAATAATTTTATTATTGAACAACAACCATGTTCTCAATGAACCCAAAAAACTCATTAATATCAAAGCTGAATGTTTTTGGAAGTAGTTTTTAGTTTGTTTTTAGTTTTAGCTATTTTAGGGGGATATCTGTGTGTGCAGGTGACTATTACTGTGCATAATTATTAGGCAACTTAACAAAAAACAAATATATACCCATTTCAATTATTTATTTTTACCAGTGAAACCAATATAACATCTCCACATTCACAAATATACATTTCTGACATTCAAAAACAAAACAAAAACAAATCAGCGACCAATATAGCCACCTTTCTTTGCAAGGACACTCAAAAGCCTGCCATCCATGGATTCTGTCAGTGTTTTGATCTGTTCACCATCAACATTGCGTGCAGCAGCAACCACAGCCTCCCAGACACTGTTCAGAGAGGTGTACTGTTTTCCCTCCTTGTAAATCTCACATTTGATGATGGACCACAGGTTCTCAATGGGGTTCAGATCAGGTGAACAAGGAGGCCATGTCATTAGTTTTTCTTCTTTTATACCCTTTCTTGCCAGCCACGCTGTGGAGTACTTGGACGCGTGTGATGGAGCATTGTCCTGCATGAAAATCATGTTTTTCTTGAAGGATGCAGACTTCTTCCTGTACCACTGCTTGAAGAAGGTGTCTTCCAGAAACTGGCAGTAGGACTGGGAGTTGAGCTTGACTCCATCCTCAACCCGAAAAGGCCCCACAAGCTCATCTTTGATGATACCAGCCCAAACCAGTACTCCACCTCCACCTTGCTGGCGTCTGAGTGGGACTGGAGCTCTCTGCCCTTTACCAATCCAGCCACGGGCCCATCCATCTGGCCCATCAAGACTCACTCTCATTTCATCAGTCCATAAAACCTTAGAAAAACCAGTCTTGAGATATTTCTTGGCCCAGTCTTGACGTTTCAGCTTGTGTGTCTTGTTCAGTGGTGGTCGTCTTTCAGCCTTTCTTACCTTGGCCATGTCTCTGAGTATTGCACACCTTGTGCTTTTGGGCACTCCAGTGATGTTGCAGCTCTGAAATATGGCCAAACTGGTGGCAAGTGGCATCTTGGCAGCTGCACGCTTGACTTTTCTCAGTTCATGGGCAGTTATTTTGCGCCTTGGTTTTTCCACACGCTTCTTGCGACCCTGTTGACTATTTTGAATGAAACGCTTGATTGTTCGATGATCACGCTTCAGAAGCTTTGCAATTTTGAGACTGCTGCATCCCTCTGCAAGATATCTCACTATTTTTGACTTTTCTGGCCTGTCAAGTCCTTCTTTTGACCCATTTTGCCAAAGGAAAGGACGTTGCCTAATAATTATGCACACCTGATATAGGGTGTTGATGTCATTAGACCACACCCCTTCTCATTACAGAGATGCACATCACCTAATATGCTTAATTGGTAGTAGGCTTTCGAGCCTATACAGCTTGGAGTAAGACAACATGCATGAAGAGGATGATGTGGACAAAATACTCATTTGCCTAATAATTCTGCACTCCCTGTATAGCCCAAAGCACTTTACAATGCCACTATTCATTCACTCTCGCATTCACACACTGGTGGAGGCAAGCTACGGTTGTAGCCACAGCTGCCCTGGGGCAGACTGACAGAAGCGAGGCTGCCATATCGCCCATCGGCCCCTCTGGCCAACACCAGCAGGCGAAGTGTCTTGCCCAAGAACACAACGGCCAGGACAGAGAGGCCAGGGATCGAACCGGCAACCTTCCGTTTACAGATGCGCTTCCCAACCCCCTGAGCCACGGTCGCTCTCCAATAGGTCCTTCTCGGTCAACCTGGGCACCTGCTCTTCCTCCGCTGCACCTGTCTGCTGTGGAGTGCCTCAAGGATCTGTGCTGGGCCCTATTCTTTTCTCGCTGTATATGCTCCCTCTAGGTGCAATCTTTGAGAAATACAATATCGCTTTTCACTGTTATGCTGACGATATACAGATCTACATTGAACTAGCTGATGATCCTGCTCTGTCTCTGCACTGCTTTCAAGAGTGAATGTGTCAGGTCAAAGAGTGGCTCTTAGGAAACTCTCTTATCTTGTCAAGGCTCTGAAGCCAGATGCAGGGAGACATGGAGAGAAAAACATAGGATGACGTAGGGAGATAACACAGACGAACCGACAACAGGCAGGATAACACACAGGGCTTAAATACACACAGCAGTAATCAAGGGATGGGAGTCAGGAGAGGAACACACATGGGAAAAATCAGAGCTGATGAGACAGGGAGACGTAAATTGAACACCCTCACATGAGACAAAGACCTTCAAAGTAAAACAGGAAACTCACACACGCAAAGACAGACTCAGAGACGCGGGCTTAACACAGACCTGACTACAATAGAGGGGATACACAGAACCAAAACGTAAGAATAAACAAAGATACATCAAGAAATCAAAGATTAACAATACAGAACAGAAAGCACTGGGTCACAGACCCAGGACCGTGACATATCTTAAATGATAATAAAACTGAAATCGTTGTATTTGATAGTAATATTCCTCGCGGACAATTTCACGATGCCTTTGGTTCCCTTGCCAGCTCCCTCTCTGACACTGTTAGCAATTGATAAACAAGTGTCCACTGTAGTTAGATCTAGTTTCTACCAACTGCGTGTCATTTCTAAGGCTAGGCATTATGTTCTGCATAAGGACCTGGAAAAGCCTTTGTGACCTTCTGGAACTGGGAGGTTTGAATCTATTACCCCTGTTCTAGCTGACCTGCACTGGCTACCCATTAAATACTGCATCCAATTTAAAATACTGCTGCTTACTTTTAAAATTATTAACAACACAGACCGTGCGTTTGCCTTGGCTGCACCACATTTATGGAATAACCTTCCTATTGTTATCTGCGTGTCTGACTCTATCCAATCATTTAAATCACGGTTAAAAACCTATTTATTTAACCTTGCCTTTCCTGCTTGTTAATGCCTGCATCTGATCCCTAGACTTACTCTATTTTACCTTTTATACATATCTTTTGTGGTTTTGTGCTTTTAACATGTTTTACTTGATATGCATTTTATGCCATTCCTGTGTATTAGTAACACTGTGTATTAGTAACACTGGAACTGACCTGTTAGCATACTTGGTATTTTGAAGAAAGAAAGTGTACTTTATTGGTCCCCGTGGGGAAAATCCCTCTCTGCATTTAACCCATTCACTCAGTGAAGCAGTGGGCAGCCATTGGGCGCCCGGGGAGCAGTGTGTAGGGACGGTACCTTGCTCAGGGGTACCTCAGGGTAGCTGTTCAGGGGAATCGAACCCCCGACCTTCCGATCATGGGGCCACCACTCTACCTACTGAGCTATCCCTGCCCTTTGTTATGGTCCTATAATGTTTATAATATTTCTGTCTTATTTTCTGTCTTTTATGTGAAGCACTTTGGTATACCATTAGTTTTTAAATGTGCTCTATAAATAAAGTTGTATTGTATTCTTTTGTTAGAGGATCTTCGGGTAGAGTTTTAAATCTCACATTGATATTCCAGAAGAGCGTAGCGGGTGTATGAGAGTCTTTGTATCTTTCACACACATGTTGTGTAATACGGGGGCAGAATCAATAGAAAAGCAAACAAAAAACAAAATAATGCACCTGTTTTAGGAGCCGAAGTAGCACGCTGCCATCACATCAATCCAAGATTAATTGGATTCCTCACAGTGTTATTGGAGGCCAAGGTAACGCCATTTAAAGTATCTGGTTAGATATCATGTTTTTAAGGTTTTTAGAAAACCCTGATGGACTAATCCCAGGCTATCGAGACTAGCAATTGGGACATGGAATGTCACTTCACTGGTGGGGATAGGTAAGATAAGATAAGATAAGATAAGAGATAAGATAGAACTTTATTAATCCCTCGGGTGGGTTCCTCTGGGAAATTCGATTTCCAAAAAAGCACAGCAACGACCGAAGTTACAGAGTTACAGAATATTATATATATATACACACACACACATATATATAATACAGAGACAATATAAATAAAATATACGAAGGGGATAAATAGAATAAATAGGAATAAAAAATAAAAATACAAGTGAATTGCACATTTCAAGTATTGAGGTCTATTGCACTGTTGACTATTTACAAAAGTATTGCACAAAAGGTATTGCACAGTGAGGTGAAGAGGCACTACAGCTTAGTTGTTCCCCCCTCCTTTGTCCTCCTGTTTCCCCTCCCTCTCCCCTCCAGAGAGGAGTTAAACAGTCTGATGGCGTGTGGGACAAAGGAGTTTTTAAGTCTGTTAGTTCTTGTCTTGGGGAGAAGCAACCTGTCACTGAACAGACTCTTCTGGTTGTTAATGGCCGTGTGCAGAGGATGCCTGGCATTGTCCATAATGTCCATCAGTTTCTTTAATGTCCTTTTCTCTGCCACTGTCACCAGAGTGTCCAGCTTCATGCCGACCACAGAGCTAGCCTTCCTGATCAGTTTCTCCAGCCTGGATGAGTCCTTCTTTGCTGTGCTGCTCCCCCAGCACACCACAGCATAGAAAAGTACTCCAGCAACCACCGACTGGTAAAACATCCTCAGGAGCTTCCTGCAGATGTTAAAAGACCTCAGCCTCCTGAGGAAGTACAGTCGGCTTTGGGCTTTTTTATACAGGTGCTCTGTGTTGCATGACCAGTCCAGTTTATTGTCCACCCACAGCCCGAGGTACTTGTACTTGTTGACCACCTCCACCTCCTCCCCCTCTATCTGAACCGGCAGTGGACCTTCTCTGGACCTCCCGAAGTCCACAACCAGTTCCTTAGTCTTTGAGGTGTTGAGTTGCAGGTGGTTTGTGTGACTCCATGCGACAAAGTTCCTCACCAGACTTCTGTACTCCTCTTCCTGATCATCCCAGATACACCCCATGATGGCCGTGTCATCTGCAAACTTCTGAATATGGCATAATTCAGAGTTGAGGTAACGACAGGCCAAGAGGATCATGGGTCAGGCAGTAGCCGAAGCAAAAACCTGGGTTTAGGTGGAATTCAGAGAGGCCGTGCTGAAAGCCTTTTTAATTCTACTGACATGTCATCTGTATGAAAAAGTAGAGTCTGTGTACAAGGGGGGGCGAATTGTCAATCACCGGGAGTGAGGCCACTTAAACAACTCCATGGTTGCAGAAGTCCTGGGGTGGAAGAAGTTTGGCCTAAGTTCCTGAAGGCTCTGGATGCTGTAGAGCTGTTTTGGTGGTTCCCATCTTTGCCCTCCCAGGAAAGTCTATGCCAGGGTGCTGGGAAAGAGAGCACATATCTACATGGATATTAAAGTCACTCGCTATAATTATTTTATCTACACTGATAAAAAGTCTGAGAAAACTGAATAGGAACAAACTCTTTCTCCCGGGTCAGAGTATGTTTAATATTTAATGTTGAAACCCTGAATTAACTGTTTAATCAGTCAGTTTGTTAACTTCTTTCTGAGTCGTCATTTTTTTAATCACTCCCATTCTTCACAGGTAGCAGATGACTCTGGATCAGTTTCCTTTTCTGCGGATCTTTGAACTCTCCTGTTTTCACCACTCTGCCTATACTGGAACCACACCCCACAATGTTCTGCCTTAACAGCCATTCCACCTTAAACAATCCACCTTAACAGCCTTGCCAGCTTAACAAACATTCCACCCTAACGCAGGTGCTCTCTCTGACTGTTTTCTGAATTTTTGTTGTTGTTCTTTATTCTCAAACAATCAAATATCTTCAAAGAATTACCGCTAAGAAAAGTTAGTATCTTCTTTTTTTTTTTTAACGAAATGACATTTTTAGATTTTGGGGTCTCTGTTGCCTTTATTACACAGCACAGTGGAGAAAGAGAGGAAGGATGCAGCAAAGGCTCTCGGATCAGTTCTGCCTGGTCGCTGCGTCTGGTTGCCTTTAGCTGTGAGCTAAACCTGAGTCTGAATCTGAGTCTGTAAACCTGTCAGTGTTTACTCATCATGTTTAAGACATTCAACTCTCAGATTTAAAGCAAACAGATTTTTCACAGAGGTGCAGAATTCCTCGTTTGAAATTAAATTAAAAAAGAGTTTATTATCTTTAAAAAGTGTTATTCTCCAAACCTAGGGGTAATCTGGAAATGCTGCTCCCTGATTCCAACTCCACCCAAGGACAAAAACTTTTAGCAGTCTAAACTCTACGCAGCCGTTTGTTGACTTCGGCAGTGAGCCACGCCAAAATAAAGGTCCCTAATGTTCCCTGCCCAATATGAAAGTCAAACAACAGATAGATTTCTAACCCAAGGTCCTACTCAAACAAGAGAAAACAGATTTCAACAGAAAAGGCTTCTCATTCATATCAGGCTGCTGCCGTGTTTAACATATAGTGAAAGAATACTCCAGGTTGTCTAATTTACAAAACTATTAATAACTATTTACAAAGAGCTTGATTAGGTCTCACAACGCCACACACACAAGTTCACTCACTTTACTCACTAATGAACTTTTTGACTCAGGAGTTTCACACAGAGAACACTCAAAAGTTACCATCAGAAACACACAGCTTGTTGTCCAGTCTGGGAACAGGAATCCAAGCAAACAACTCGGCTGTCAAGATATACCCACACAGGACCCTGGGAGGGAGGAGAGAGAAAAACCCACACCCACATTCTCTGGTGGGAGGGGTCACACAAATAAAAACACACATAACAATGATACTAAAATCATTCAGGGCTGTAGACTAACTTTTTGCCACAGTTGCCTGGTGCACCTAACGTTTTTTTCCTTAGGTGCACCAGCACCTGTCAACACAAAGTTCTTTGTTTGGAGCACATTTCTACAAGAAATACAAGTTACTAAAAAAATGTGTTTAAAGTGCTTCACTGAGCTGAAATTTAAACTTAAAACATCTCAAGATATATTCAATAAAAAGAAAATGTAAATTACAAAGACCTGAAAGTGCCTGACAGGCTTCAAAATGAACATCTCAGTATCTGAACAGCTTTATATCTTATGGACCCTCCTCCATTACAGTCACATGGCCCTCAGATGTCCTGTAATCTGGCCTTTTCCCCCTTTTTACCCATGTGTCTGTGATGACACCTGTAACCCGGGCACACGTGACATCATTACTGTACATGGGGTTTACCTTCAAGACATTTTTCTTGTGAAGAATTATTTTGGACTTGAACTTAGTGAACCGAACATCTTCTTTGGGAATATCGTAGGCAATGTTAAACTTAATCATCACATCGGCCTCCTGTGACGACCTGTTTGCTGCCGCTGAAAGGCAGTGGGGAGAAGCCAGTGCATTTATCGCAGCATATAATGTGTTTTCTGAATGCACTGCTTTTTCAGCGTTTCTTTTTGAAACGTATTAGCTGCAGTCACAAATGCAGTATTGCCGGCCACAGTTTCTCCACACTCACTGCAGTAAATGCAGTGCGTCATATTATCAGCTTTACTGTATCTTAGCCAGGGAAACTGGTCAAGCTGCTCTCTTCCCAACGTATACACTTTACGCTTTTACTGTCAGTGGGCTCTGAGTCCATCGTATGTGGCTCATTATCTGATGCCGTCTCTGGACCAGTGTTAGACATAACCTGAGAGGTTGATGGCTCCGTGTCAGAGCACTCGCTATGAATTTCAGAGGGATCAGGCCTTAACGAAACAGTTATCAATCGTTCTTTTCATCTTTTCTCATTACCCACAACTACAGCCACTTCTATCGGGTCTAGGCTGCTCACCTCTGTCTATCTGCCTGCACCTTCAAATGTACACACACAGGCTTACATCTGGACCATGACCAATCAGAGAGCTCCTGCCCCTCACTATCTCTGATTGGTTTAGACCACGATACAGGCATAATGTGTGATGTTTTCTTTACTTGAATGACTGGTTGCACCGGTGCGACCTAGGATTCTTTTAGTCACACCACTGAGAAGTTAGGTCGCATGTCACACTCTAGAGCCTTGTTTATGTTGATGCATTAAAAACCTCAAATCTCTTTTTTTTTAATGAAACAAATCTTTCTCACATTTTTTTTTCATTTTGAAATAAAATTTTCAAAGTGTTACAACTTTTGATTATATGAGTTTTTAAACCATAAATATGATTGCAGCTTTAAAAGACGCCGCTAGAGGAATAAAATTCAGGAAATTCCAGGAACATGATCGAAAGTTTTTCTTTTTTTCTTTTTTTTTTAAAATGAATTTAAAACTTGTTTTCCTGACGACAGTGTTGGATTGCAGATATTGATTGTGTGTTTTTAATGTGTTTATTACTGAAATGTAATTTAAGGAGTTTATTTTACTGTTTATTTATTAGCTTAAAGTGAAAAATGTGTATGTTACTTTTGTCACCCAGCTGGAAATGATCATGTGTCAGTGTGTTTGTGCGTGTGTTAGTGTTGTGGTTGTTGTTGTGAATCTGTAGTAAGTTTACAGAGCGGCGAGGCTGATGAATGACAGCTTCAAAGTGACACGATCAGCTGATGGCAGATGTTGTGAACAGGAAGTTAGTGGCATGATGTCAGCCAATCAGAACATCATGTTTTCTGCAGTGTTTGTGGTCACTTTACATCTCCAACATTATTCAGTATTGAAAGCAAACTAAAGCACATCTGTTTGTAAGTGTTTATTGATGTATTGGTAATGTTTACGTGCTGCTAATGAAAGTGTTTATCATAACTATGTTAATAATGTGCTGTAAGAACAAAGTGATACTGAAGTGATTCACAGGTTGTTGTAAAGACATCGAACATCACGTGTTTCTGAACTTGTCAAATAAAGTGAAAAATTGAGTGTTTATCTGACATCAGGAATAGTGTTTACTTCTTAATCATTTATTTAAACACTGGAAAAATTTGAGATCGGATGATTAAACTGATCAATTTTTCATATACAGGTCAGTGATGTATCTGGCTTAAGTAGTTAAGCTCGTGATTAATTACAACAGCTGTAATCGGGTTTATGTGAACTATTGGCATCGTTATTTATTTATGTTATATTTTGCACTCTTTTTGTTGAGATGGTGTACGCATCTTCAACACATTTGCTATTTTAACTGTCTTAAGGAGTGGAATGTCCCTTCTATTTTTTTTCTGTTTCTTGTAAAAAATCTAATAAAATTCAAGTCTTAAAAAAACACTGGAAAAATTCTAGAATAACATTTATAAAACAGACTTTTAATCAGCCTCTCATGAACTGCCACTTTACCGTGACACTTTGGGGGTATCCAAATTCATGGGCTACATCCTCCTGAGGCCGCATTTGTTGGCCAACATGCCGAAGGCTGTCCAGATTCGTAGACTCCTCCAAATGCAGCCGACAAATGCGTCCTCCTTTTCTCCAAATTTGAAGGATGGGTCGGGTGTGTCCTTCATGGCCCACCATATCCCAGAATTCATAGCGTGGCCCAGCCAATTCCAGTTTCCAACAATGGCGGTCACTACTAAGTTTTTAATATTAGGCAGACTACCACCAAATATGAATTCTGCGAACATTAGTCT